TTGCTAAATACGACGTAAAACATTATTCATTCACTAATGATTTCCGCATTCGGAATATGGTAGCATTGTAGTATATACATACATCACATGGTCATCACGTGGTCATCATCTGCTCTCTGACCTGAAACTAAGTAACAGACGTGTGAAAACTCGGGTTAGAATATTGATCTTCAGTAACCCATGCTTGTCGTAAGAGGTGACTAACGGGATCGGGTGGTATTGAAATATTGCTGAGTGCGGCGTAAAACTAAACTCACTCACTCAATGAGTAACATAAGTAGTGTTCTTACGAAGTAGTCCGAGTGCACAAAACAGTTATGTTTTTTCATATACCAATTTCTCACATTCTCTTAATATTGTACGTATGCCAACGCACGTCATATTAATGTTGTTTTGTTGCAGTTGAACTTTTGTTTGACCTCCCCGTGTGGTTCGACGTGGTCCGATGCCTAGAAACGGTTGCCGTGGTAGTGGGTTTCACTGTTATAGCGTGCTCGGCGACGCTCGCAATATGCTCTCGAGAGTACGACGTCTTCAGACGGACGTCACAGCTGATGTTTTGCGTAACGTCTTTCATGACAGGTAAACTCTTACATGATGTGAACATAAGAAACATAGCGCTGTCACGCTGTTTACAATTGATGCAAATCTTAGTTTCGACATTACGGTAAGCGGATCCTGGTACTGTCAAGGGGCACAACTAGAATCGATATGGTAGTGGTTGGTTAAAGTTTTGGATCGCACGATCAAGACCTAAGTAGATTCCAAACAGGTGTATATTATATGAAGCTATTTTCAAGATGAAACATTTTTTTAAGCTGCTTAATACCAAACTTACTCACTCGCAAAATATATTTTTTACAGCAGCAATTATTTTGGTTCCAGGTGTCGCAGCTCTGTTGGCCGTTATCATCTTCTACGCAGAGTCCAACATGGATCTGCTGGTGTGGGGGCCGTCGCTGTCGCTGCTGGCCGCGTCTATCTCCGTCGTTGACGGCACCGCAGTCGGTTACCACATATACCGCTACGGCTATGAGGGATGGTAAGGTGGACGACATCGCCAACGTGGGGACTGCATCATCTCCGACAGCGGCACCACATGAACAACGCCGACTATTACTTCAAGTTTCCTGGTTTATCAACCAAAGCCCAAACCACGTGACACAAATCAGCAATATTATGTTTAGACAAAAACGAAAACCGAAAAAACCTACAAGCGTTAAATGGTCAAGTGCATGTTAGAGAAACTACCTGTTTGTAAAAAATGCATACATTTTCGTAAAGAGCTTGCTTTTATTATGCGACTAACCTCAGTCACTGACACTGTATACGTGTATAAATGGGATAGGTCATCAGTGCACAGCTCTACCGGAAACATGCATTGTTGCTATTGAGCATGCGTAGATGTGTGAGAAAACATCCTGTTAAAAGTTCAAACCAACCAAAAACATTTTTTGTTGGAGCCAATAAGTAAGCATTTACGTTGTTATTTTCACAAAAAGCAAATACCATCTGGTAAAAAAATAAACATAAACAACGCCAAATTCTAGGGCAGGGCCTGAAACATTTTATATAATAACGGAAGTTGTTCGAATGCGATCTCTTGCATAGTTCCATGATAGTCTTCAGCTTGTGTAAATGTTATATTTGAGTTAGAAGACTCTAAATTCTACACTTTTACTTTAACAAGTAGCAACAATCTTAAAAGTGCGTGTGTCGCTTAAAAGAGACACTGGATATATTTTCTTACATATATTTGATAACTCAAAGTGGAATAAAATATATTTCTCAAGTATTTCAGTGTGCACTTTGTTATTGGTTCTACAACACTAAATCAGAATCACTTGCTCGCTGAGCCAGTGTCGTGTGTAAACCTCTGGCCTGGTAGAGGCATGTGACAGCTATAATTGGATAAAATAGAGCAAGATTGTTATGGCTTTTAGAAGCACATCCATCCAGCAATTGAAACTGACCACAATTTTAAGCATTTAGTGCTATCATCTATATCACCATGACTTATGCTTAGTGTTTGTACATATTCAAGTAGGTGGCATTTGGTGCGGAACTGGGGATGATGTGTTCCGCTTCCTGTGCTCAGAAAATTGGCAGGATAAGTTAGCCGGAATTTGTGTTTTTTATAGTAGTTTAAGGGCCAGACTTTACCATTGTGTACCTGGAATGGATGCTGACAACCTGGATGATTTGTTTCACAATTATTCGCGTTTGGCGAAATCTGTCGGATCGTTAAATTTGTTGTGTGAAAAATACGTGAATTTACTCATCAAATATGAAGTTTGTGTCGTCATTCGTTGTCGACGCCGTCGTGATTACATCACGATCTCACGACAACACAACATTACGACTGTGAACAAAATACGTTTCGTACCGTCGTGCTGTAGTGTCGTCGTTGAACGTTGCCCCGCCGTTGCGGTTGAGAATAGTAACAAAACAGCGAGAAGACAGACTGCGATGTAGTCGGCTGTCACCTGTTTAATTGTAGTGATTATACTTTGACCCGCACGGACCCAAGGTCCCCTGGAAGATGGACATTTCATAAACTTGTTCTGAGAATAACAAGTGAGTGAGTTTAGTTTTACGCCGCACTCAGCAATACTGCAGCTATATTGCGACGGTCTGTAAATAATCGAGTCTCAACCAGACAATCCAGTGATCAACAGCTTGAGCCTCAATCTACGCAATTGGGATACCACGGAATGTGTCAACCCAGTCAGCGAGCCTGACCACCAGATCCCGTTAGTCGTTTCTTATGACAAGCATGGGTTACTGAAGACAAATTCTAACCCTAATCTTCACGGGTCCTGAGGATAACAAGACCTGATTGTGCCCTGCTCTTGGGTTTCACATCAGAGGTTAACATCAAGGACCTACGCATTCGGGCTATTTTCCCATTATGTTGAACGACACATCACTGGAACTCAAAGCGTGACTAAATCCAAATCAATTACGCGCCTGAATCCAAATCAATTACTCGCCCGAAAATTATACTAATTTTGTAGCATATATTTAAGTTTGGCATTACACTTTCTCAGTAAAGTACAGATTCTAGTACTCTGGGGATTTAGTTCCATCCGAGATTCGAACCTGAACTCTCAAGAAGAGGCACCTAATCGCGGTATAAATCGCTGACTGTATGTGTTGCCAACCCTGAGAGTATGCGTTCGAATCCCGGATGGGACCAAACACCAAAGAGTACTACTGTCTGTACTTTACTGAGAAAGTGTAATCCCATAACCTAATATACGATCGATCTACAATCTATAAAATTATGTAACATAAAGTACAAACATAATGTCTAAATGGCATTGTGTATCCGTAGCCAGTGACCAATAGTTATCACGTACTACGATGTGGTCCATTTCATTCAGGGATTAGTCACGAGCAAGAATAGGACTGTCAGGCAGATGGTATATACATTTATTGCAAGAGAAAACATTGGTTTCTTTTACACAATACTAAATGACATAAGGGCTAAAACGGAGTATGGGGAGAACAACAGGCAGACCTGAAAGAAAAGGTCACTGGTACTTTGCAGGTGCATGCAGAGTTCATTGTATTTTATACAGTACTGTCAGTCAACCCTAAGTATACATAACGACCCATAGAATCACTGCTCTATGATGACAAGCACGCAGCGTGCCATTCAAAGATTACTGAAATTGCCATAGAAACGGATCACCACACCAACGGGCAATAATGGTCTACAATACATACACAAACAGATGAACAATCGCTTTGTCGTTGGTATTGTCATCGTATTTGTGTTTGTACAATACATACAAGTTTTGCGATGAGGGCAATCTTAATCTTGGTTAATGGTACATGAAAAAAGTCATATGGTATAGGCATGTTGTTTAGATGTTAAATAATGTCATGAACAAACTGTCAGTATCGAACTTCATAATCTGTGATATTGGATATTGATATTAATCTACGTTTATAACGAGTACGCTCATAACGAACTGACGGATATAACGAAGTTTTTTGTCCCGATCACTTGTACATTTTAGTACTTAATATATTTAACGAACAACGTTACAGCGAACTACATGTTCACCTTCAACTCAATTAACTCAATTAGCCCAAATTAGTTTACACTACCGCATCCCTTTGATTGATGCCGCACCGTGTGGAAACGTGTGGAAATAACCTCAGTTCAGAGGGATTCTTGTCCATGAAAGGTAGGTGAACATCGAGTTTCTTTGCAAACATCGAGTTAACAGGGTAAATTTGCTTGTTGTGACCATGGATTTATATCGAGATATCCGAAATATCGAGACATCCATATCGAGTTAAAAGAGCTTGAATAATGATAAATTAGGAAGGATTTTGGCGGGACCGAGATATTATATCGAGACAACCGAGATATCGAGTTATCACGACACAACGGTGCTCGACTGTACAATCTATGATCTATTTGGGTTCCTGACAGTTTTCGATACATTGTAGTTTGTGGGTTACATTTAGATATAAACTGATAAGGTTAATTCCTGGTTACTGGGATAATCTGACATTGGGACACAACATTAGGGATACGTTAAACATACCCAACAACCAAACCGCCCCGACAACAAACTACCCCCTTCACCATCGGTCTCCCATACATAGGATCAACCAGCCATCACATACGACGACTCTTGAAGCACCAAGCTGACATAGACGTCACCTTCCAAAGAGACAACAGCATCCAGAACCTCTTGCAGGCCACAGGAAGACTTTGGTCGTGCCAGACCCTACCTGTTTCATTCCAACTACGTACATCAACCCCATCCATTGTATAAACATCAACCTGGCTTCCTATCAGTTGTATAAGCTCTAATTCAGTCCTTGTATGTTACCCTACTGGCTTCCTATCAATTTACTCAATCTCTCATACAAACGTTGTACATCAACCTCATCTATTGTATAAACAACTCATTCCCTATCTACTGTAACAACAACTCCTGTATATATTCTCTCAATTTGTTACTCATGTATCACGTGCTTGACAACGACATTAGAACCTATGTCGAAACGTCGCCTCCACAGAATAAAAGAAGTTGTATATCCATAATTAATGTCATTATTCTTCATGCCCGGATAGTATACATCGACAGCATATACATCCGGACCTTTGTTTATTGAACTGGCTCAGCTTGCTGTATGATGCTCTTTCTTAAAGCGTTGCGATTAACCTTTACGTTGACATAGGTATGCAAGTCTTGGTATCATTAAAATATTTCAATATCCGGTTGTATCGAAGTACGGATCACTCGATATTTTTCACGGTCTCAAGGAATTGGGGTTAATTAGTATCACTGTTTGTCCAACCAGCCAGAAGATATTGTAACCGAAAAATTAAGTTAGTAAACTCTACTAAGGCCTTGAAGGTTTTGCTAGGTCAGCACGGTTTGGTCCCAAACTCTTCAGCAGTGTTGTCGGAGAGGCAGGAGCGACACCTGAACACGTGCATTTGAACGAGTGAGTATGTTTTTACGCCGCTTTTAACAGTATTCCAGAAATGGGTTTCACACATTGCACTTGTGTGGGAATCGAACACGGGTCTTCGACGTGACGACCGGACGCTTTAATTACTAGGCTACCCACCGTCAGTTTAGTGAAGTTTGTAAACGAATAGGTGCAAGTGACCCATATACCCAACACCTATTCCGCTTGAGAGTAATATTTTTTTCTCATTAGCTAAGTATACATAACGACAAATAGAATTACTGCTCTATGATGACAAGCACGCACCGTGCCATTCAAGCTAACTGAAGTCACTATAGCAACGGGTCACCATGACAACAGACGGTTGTGAAAAAAAGCGACGCACTGTCCCATTCAAAACTGAATGGCATGACCATAGCAGCGGTCACCATGACAATGAATAAGCTATCCAACAACGCCAAGCCGATGTTAGAAAGATGTCTGCTCCATGACGTAAGTGGGGGTCCGGTCTAGGGTGTAGTCAGGGTCGTATCTACAGACGACTAGGGTAAAGACGCCACACGTGAAGAACAGCAGGCCCCCCAGAGCGGGGAGAGAGGCAGCCCACATCATGTCGGCTCTCTGGACCGTGGCGATGAAGACAAGGACGCCGACAGTAGCCATTAATCCTGAAACAAATGTACAGTCCGTTTGAAAAATACACGTGCATAGGTCATATGCTGATATAGAAACTAAAAATAATATATGACATGGTCTCTAGCAACCAATGTTTGTTGTTAGCGACTAACGGTATCGTGTGGTGGGGCTCGACGAATGTTTGACACATGTCATTGTATCCCAACTGCATAGATCATTGGATTGTCTGGACCAGACTAGATTATCTTACCTTCATGTAAAATACTTTAATTTCATTGGATCATTAGCCTACCGGCTCGGGTGCCACTGCTAAGAGGCGTACACCAGGCCGTATTACCCTCGAGAGAAGCATACAACTTATATTATTTACAGACCTCCGCCTTACAGCTAGGATATTTGTTAGTGACCCGTTAAACAAAAAACAAACCAACAAGATAATATGATATGACATATGATATGGTATGTGATATATATATGTGACGTGACGTGATATGATAGGCATTCTATCATACCCTCTTTATAAAAAAGAGAAACGCACAGGCGTTTTCAGCAGTTCATTTCGATATATTTTGACAACAATCATCATTAAGTCAAATCCTATGTTTGAATCCCGTTAATCATGTCGTGGTTGTTGTGTATTGCAACAAACGCATCACAAAATGTGTTTGAAACGTCCGTCATACAAAATGTGCGATACAAGAAAAGTGCATGCAGAAGAAGTTTTTCACGTACTTCACCTCAAAGCCAGGATTGAATGCTACTGGCCGAAATATCGCCATTGGACGTTTGGAAACAGGGTGTCCCAGTCTTCCGTTGCAAGACACTTCAACGTCCACCACAGCACCATTTCTCGATTATGGCATCGATATACCCGCTTCAGTTAGACCCAAGATCGTCCCAGAAGTGGAAGACCAAGAGTGACCACTCCTGCTCGGGACCGTTTCATCCGGGTGTTTCACATACGTCACCGATTTGCTGCAGCAATTTACACTGCAGGACAGGTGTCTGGTCTTCGAAGAATTTCCGACCAAACCATCAGAAATCGTCTGAGAGAAGTGGTAATTCGAGCATATCGACCAACAGTTGGACCAGCCCTAACACGACTACACCAACAACAACGTTTCCAATGTTCCAACAGGGTACGGGCATATGGAACCTGGGGAACTGGCGACGCGCTTGGTTTCAGCTTTGCATCGCGTTTCCTCCTGCAACGACGGGATGGGAGATAACGTGTCTATCCACGTCGACAGGAAAATTTTGCGCCGAACTGCGTTCAACATGTGGACAGATTTGGTGGAGACAGCGTCATGGTGTGGGCTGTTTATCCTACACGCATACATCAGAGCTAGTGGTGGTTCAAGGCAATCGTACAGCAAATATCAACAAAGACCAAATCCTGCGACCTCACCTCCTCAGGCTTTTTTAAACGCCAGAGGGAGCTGTTGCAACATAATAACGCTCGACCTCACACAGCTCGTGTAACAGGTGCCTATCTTGCCAATGCAAGTGTTCTTCCCTGGCCTTCCAAATCGCCTGATCTGAACCCGATCGAGCATCCATGGGACGAACTTGATCGACGCGTTCGTAAACACTTGCAGAATCTTCCAGTGCACTGCAGGAGGAAGGGCAAAGAATTCCCCAAGCAAAAATAAATCCGACGACTTGTGCAATTCCGTCCAAAGTGGTGTCGGGCAGTGACTGTTGCAAGGGGTGGTGTCACCTGGCCCAAATTTCTCAAAACAAATTTAAGTTAGTGTTTTTACTCAAATTTGAGAAAATGCATTTCCCAGAATGAACTGAAATCGATATTAAACACAAACTTAGCAGACAATTTGAGTTTGGTGGCTAGATTACTTAAGATGTTTGGGCTTATATATTTAACAAAATGCAGTTGAGTTAAAAATTCAGCTGTTTCAAATTGTTAAACTCAGTTTGAAATCTGAGTAAAAACTTAAGTTTGTTTCGAGAAATTGGGGCCTGAACGCCCCCTTGTGTCCACACATGTGCAGTGAGTGAACTGACTCAATGAGAACAATACATCTGTTCATCCGTGTGTCGAATTTCCCTCGTCTATGTTCAAGCTTAATCGACACTTAAATACATGTACATAATACATTTTCTTATTTTGGACCTGTGCGTTTCATTTTTTGAAGAGTTTACATTGTAAGGTGTAAAAACATGCGATAGATAATTGTTGTGGAGACTGACGTTTTGTAGTAACAGGTTACACGTCACATTTGCTGCCAATATGAACTAGTATTTGAATAGTCTGGTTATGGTTCAACGCAAACGACTACTTATGTTACTGGTCGAGCAAACAAAAGAACCTAGGATAATTTCCTATATAAGACAGGTATGGAATCCTGGAAGGGACATTGTCGCGTTGTCGCGTTGTCGCCCTCCCAAATACAAGCAAAATTAAACAACACGCGACACGCGACATCGCGACAATGCGACAAATAGGCGAAATGTCGCGATGTCGCGATGTCGCGTGTCGCGTGTCGCGTTTTGGTTTATTTTGCCTCACTGTACTTGTTTTTGACAACGCGACAATGCGACATAGCGACAATGTCCCTTCTAGGATTCCATAGACAGGAGATCTGAAATAACCTATTTTTGGCAGCATGTTTTGCATGTTTTTTCAAATCGTCAAGACTGAGAGTTGATTGATATTATTCATATCAGTACACGTTTTGTGTTTGAAGTGTAGATCAAACACCGAGTTGCTAAATCTGTACATAATATAATTTTTATCAATATTCAACTAAGTTCATGTGTTCAGAGGGCCTTTGGGTATCCCAGGGGTTAAAGCGTTCTGTTCGTCACGCGGGTTCGAATCCCCACATGGGTACAATGTGTGACGCCCTTTTCTGCTGTCCCCCGTTGTAGTGATGGTATTGATAAACGCGGCGTAAAGCCATACTCACTCACTCTGGTTTAGATTACATTTGGGGGGGCGGGGAAGCCTAGTTATTAAACCGTTCGCTCGTCACGCCAAAGACCCGGGTTAGATTCCCCACATTGTGCAATGTGTGAAGCCCATTTCTGGTGTGACCCGCCGCGATATTGCTGGAATAATGCTAAAAGCGGCGCAAAACTAAACTCACTCACTCACTTACATTTCGGTAGTCTTACCTGCAAACACAGACGTCGCGAAGAACATTCCTTGTGTCACGTGACGACTTTTCGACGTTTTATGCCGCATGGTGTTCATCAGCACGCCAAACACAAGGGAGACAACTCCGACTATCATGGCCAACGTTTCGAATGCACGTAGAACGTCCCATCTTTCTACTTCCGGTGTGCGATCAACTGAAGGTACAAAAAATAAACGAACATTGTACAAAACCCCAGGCTGCTTCACAGGACCAGTATAGGCATTAAAAAAACAAAAAAAACACAATCAGCATTTTTCACTAACCTTTGTGTATCTCAACACACATTTGGATATTACCTAGTTTGTTGTGATAGCCGAGAATATCCAGGTTAATTGTAGTCTTCAGCAACCCATGCTTGTCGTAAGGGACCGTTCATAATTGGCCAGAGGGGTAATGATGATTTCTATGAGGAAGCATGTACAATGTGAATGACCCCCACACCAACCACCCCTAACGTTTATGTACAAACTAAGTGAAAACCCACCGCCCAACCCAACCCCCAAGTCATGTACACAATCAATGTTACTGCCCCTAATACACATGACCTGACCCGTGAAGGTCCGGGTTAGAATACTGATCTTCAGTAACCCATGCTTGTTGTAAGAGGCGACTAACGGGATCGGGTGGTCAGGCTCGCTGACTTGGTTGACACATGTCATCGGTTCCCAATTGCGCAGATCAGATCGTTGATGGCTGGTTTGTTGGTCCAGACACGATTATTTACAGACCGCCGCCATATAGCTGGAATATTGCTAAGTGCGGCGTAAAACCAAACTCACTCACAAAATGACCTGTGTAAAAAGTTGATAACCCCTCCCTCCCCCCCAACACACACACACACACCTCGCCAGAACAAAATTAGTGCCCCCTTTAAAATAATCATCATCACACACGCCACTCCCCACCCCACCCCTAGCCACCTACCCATGAATTAAGAACGGTCCCTAAGAAGCCACTAATGGGATAGGGTGGTCAGATAGGGTGGACATACTGTTGATCACCGGATTGTCTAGTCCAGACTGAAATATTTACGTTCCGCTGTATTATTGCAAACAACATACAAACAAACACATCATCAAGAGTTGAGGACCGCCTCCGTGGTGTAGTGGTTAGAGCGTCCGACCGGAGAGCGGAAGGTCGCGAGTTCGATCCCCGAACGCGTCATACCAAAAGACGTTAAAATATGGTACTTGTTGGTCCCTGCCTGGCGCTCGTCATTATCGGATACCACAAGGACTGGTCGGCTCGGAGTCAGTATACTGTGGCTGAGTGGGGTATTCATGCTTCACTGCGGCATGGTATCTCAGTGGGCTAGCACTATAAAACCAGCTAGTACAAGCAGCCACACATACACATACACACGCATGCACGTCGTCATATGAGCGAAATATTCTCAAGCACGACGTTAAACCCAATTTCACCTCACCTCACCTCACAACCTCTGACATGCGATAGGTCGAGCACACCACATCAGCAAACAACTGTGTTTACAATTCAGTGAACAATTCTTATTGTTTTGATAAAAATATGAGCGTGGATACGCCTTCGGCTTTGACGTTCTGAATATTCTCCTTCCAGCGTTCGATATACATGTACATGTATGTCTTTGTGATCATTACCATTTGAGCGGAAGAAGCCGAGAGAGTCCGAATGTGATCATGAATTTCCGGTTATTTCCCCTACAGCTATGACGCACAAAATATTTGACAAGCCCTCCCCCCTTGTCATTGAAACTCTCGTGAAAACGGGTGCAAATGAACTGTGCACACACACCACTCCCCACCACCCCCTTTCTCAAAAAGATGTATCCGCCCCTGTTCGACCTGCTAAACGTACATAGAAATAACGGGATTCAATTGATAGATTATCGTAAATCGTCTATCGGAGGTCTGAACAGAACATCGACACTGAAGGGCCATACGAAAGGATATCGGACAATTTTGAGGCAAGGTTATATAAAGTTTGAACCCAAGCCTCCATAAATGCATACACTCAAATACACTTCAGAGTGAGCGAGTGAGTGAGTGAGTTTGTTTTTACGCCGCCAGTGTTCGTAGTAATGTTTTATTAGCATAACTGATTAACTGACCTAGGGCAATTATTTCTATTAAAAAAACATAAAATTGTACTTATTTTGATAATCTTCATCAGGCCTAATACATTACACGCGTATTAAATAAGTATGCCCTCGTGGTGTAAGCCATTTAATCACCCTCACTACGAACAAAACCCTTTGCAGAGAACTACCTTGTAAGGGTGATTAACCTATACTAATAATAATCTGATTGTTAGGCGCTTTGAGCAGGTCCCTCAGTGATGTAGAACTAGCGCTTTGTAAATATCCTTATAAGTATATTTCTTTCGCTACGTTTTGTATGTTCTAAGTACTCACACTCACTAACTCCCTTACTCACTCACTCACTCAGAAATGTGTTTTATTTTCTTACCGTGATCAATGTACCACAGATTCTGACATTCCTGAGGGGTACAAATCCTCGCGAACCACAGCCCGCTGTAGACACCTAGGGTATCGTTACCAATCCAGTACGGCACAAAGAAGCCGGTGACCAACAGGACATAGGCCACAAACGATCCTACTAGAAAAACCGGCAACGATTTGGACTCGATCTGATGTTTCTCCATTTTGTAAAACAATAACAGTTCTTTCTACGTTGACCTTGACCTTTAGATAAAGCACTGCACGTATTCTCAGTAAATTTTCACAAGTATCTTCAGTTGTTGGTGAAGGCTGTTGAATCAAATTACACTTGTGAGGAATGTACGCTGTATATTTATCAAAATAATGACGTAGTAACGTCAGCACGGTTCAGATCCGTAGGGGAAAAGGTCTGACCTTGACCTCGCTCAAGTATGAGCAACAAATGAAGCAATGTAGAGGTCACAGAACGACAAGAATCACACAAAATCCATACATCAACGAGAGTCCCACAAATCTGTGAAGTCTTCCGAGCGAGTTTTCAACTTTTATGTTAATCTGTGGCGAGGACGTGTTCCGATCCGAAAGGTATATGCACATTTGCTGAAATTATCCTCCGAAGGTACAACAACATGAACAACAACGACCTCCGTGTTACAGCCTGTTCCCAGTCAGTACAACACAAACGTGGTCATGGGATTGTGCAGGTAACTGTCGCTGTCGTTTATGTGGTTTATGCACGCACGTTGTCCGCGGGAAGAATCTGACAGCCGTGTTAAAGTAACTCAGCCGTGTCATTCTTCTCTTAAGAGAAAAGATGTGAATATTTGTGTGACGTTTAGCTGCAGGTTAGGTATGTCGCTAAACAGTGTCTGGGCGTCCGCGTCCGTCCTGGGGGCGCCCCATCACGTTAACCGGGCTTGGCCGCAATTGGGATGATATTGTTTAAGATCCGCGAAGATCCGGGTTAGAATTGACCCTCATTAACCGTTTCTTGTAAGAGTGGCTAACGGAATCGGATAGTCATACTCGCTGACTTGGTTGACACATGTCATTGTATCCCGATTGTGTAGAACGATGCTCATGCTATTGATCACTGGATTGTTTGGTCCAGACTCGACCGACATACCGACCGACCTACCTACCTCCACGCAGTCGGGGTACAGTGACAGAGCTTTCAGCCATGTCCCCGAGCCTATTGCCTCTTGCGACCTGCAAAGGATGCTAGTTTTTTGTTTACTATTTATTTCACTCAATTTTGTATTCTGACCGAATATCAATACATATGCAGCTCGTAAAGGCTACGGTGATCTGACAAATATCAGCCATTACATACAGATATTCACCATGTTTGTTCGTTGTTTGACGTCGCACTCAGCAATATTACAACTATAATATGTATAATAGTGTATGAAATAAGCCAAAAATCCAGCCAGACATCAGGGCTGGTAACTTCAAAATGTTACCAGCCCAAAATGGATTTAACCAGACCAAATATGGTGAATTTACTCAGATGTATGGAACATCTAAAATTCTACCCGACCATCGGGCTGGCTAGCTGTAAATTTAGACCGTCCGTCAGAAATCTAGACCGTCTCGGGCGGTCAGACAGGCCTTATTTCATACACTGGCTATATGTCTGGACCAGACAATCCAGTGAGCATGATCAGAAGAGATCTACGCAACTGGGATACGGTAACATATGTCGTCAGCGAGCCTGACCATCCGATCTCGTTAGTCGCCTCTTACGACAAGAATGACCAAAGCTTGCCATGATCTTCACGGGCAACGGATCAGTTTTAATCCGGAATGGTGTGCTCTTGTGCTAAAAGTTCGATCATTACGAGTGCTCTCCGCTTGATAAAACATTCAGTGAGTGAGTGAGTGAAGTCAGTGAGTGAGGTTTGATGCCACACTCAGCAATATTCCAGCTATATGGCGGCGGTCTGTAATTATTCAAGTCAAGACCAGACAACCTAGTGATCAACATCATGAGTATCGATTTACGCAATTGGGAACCGATGACATGTGGCAACCTAGTCAGCGACTGACCACTCGATCCCGTTTGTTACCTCTTACGACAAAAATGGGTTATTGAAATCAATTCTAACCCGGAGTGAGTGAGTGAGTGAGTGAGAGAAAGAAGTGTTTCGATGATAAGGCAATCAATGAAGGATCGAGTGAGTGAGTTAAGTTTTAAGCCGCGTTTCGCAATAATCCAGCAACATCAAGGCGGGGGACACAAATGGGTTTCATAAACTGTACCCATGTGGGGAATTGAACCATGTTCTTCATCGAGACGAACGGACGCTTGAACCATTAGACTACCCCACCACCCCCATGAAGGATCGAAGTCTTGGAACAGGGATTCAAACCCATGTGTACTGTATCATTATTTACTGAGCATAACTGCATAGTTTTAAGAATCACTAAAATCGGCGGGGTAGCCTAGTGGTTAAAGCGTTCGGTAGTCACGCCGTGGACACAGGTTCCATTCCCCACATGGGTACAACGTGTGAAGCCCATTTCTGGTGTCCCTCGTCGTGATATTGCAGAAATATTCCTAAAGGCGTCGTAAACCAAAACTCATTATAGAAGGGAAATTTAAAGTCAAATGATAATTATGACTGGAAGTAAATGAATGAGTGTGGTCTTACGCCTCTATTGCAGCAAAATCACGGCGGGGGTGGTGGTGGGGATGGTGTGCTGACTAGAAATGGCCTTCGCACATTGAATCCATTTGGGGATCGACCCCGGGTCTTTGACGTGATGAGCGAACGCATAATATGTGCAACGAAAATATAACGCATTAGTGATGAATCAGGATATAACGGTAAAATATAGCGTCGCATTTTTATCCATCCAGCCACTTCTGTGTTCTACGTCGGTGACAAATGTTCGTGTCTGTGTGTCAGGACAACAAGGTAGCTGTACATCACACGGCTGTGTTCACAGTCCCCTCCCTAACAAGACTTTAATCCGGGCCAACCTGTACAACAGAACTACGATACATCCCAGCCCTGGACTAGTATGCTTAGAGTGTGTGGAAGCTGCACTATGGCCAGGAGCAAGTTGCAAATTAAGCATACCGTACAGTGTTGAATATCCAGCTTTGTTTGTTGTTGTTTAAAGCTACACTCAACAATATTCAAGATATTTAGTGGCGGCCTGTAAATAATAAAATCTGGACCAGAAATTCCAGTGATCAATACCATGAGCATCTATCTACGCATTTGGGATACGATAACACGATAACACGGTCTGACCACCTGATCCCGACATTTGTTTCTAACGATAAGCAGTGGTTGCTTAAGACCAATTCTATAACCCAGATCTTAACGGGTTCCAGTTCCTTTGACTAAATCGTATTTATGCGGTGCTCCAGATAAACCACTGTTAAACCATCTTTGCACGAAGCACCAGTTCCAAAAATGCAAATGGACGTTCGCTTTGCTCTTCTGTAATTTTCTGATGCACTTGTCACTAAGATACATCGGCACGAAGGTTCAGAGTTCTCTCTATGATTCTATCATCTGTTCTGATTATCCATTGTGCATTTATTTATGTACAAAGTGTTGCAAGAAAAATGGCTGTATATTTCAGCTGAGATGGCCGTTAGGTATTTGGATAAAAAAATACACTGTTTACATCCAAAAACAATATTTGGAAAAAGATAATATTTTAGGGGGTACTTTTTCACCTAGCACCTACAGGATGCAGGTGGAGCAGACGATATCCTGTTTACTTTAGAGATGAAATCATGGCTGCTGTAAGAAGAGAATTTACCACCGCGTTGAAAGATTGTGATTTTTTTAAACAGAATGGAGAAAAAAATTGCAATATGGCAAAGATTTGGGGAATAAATGAATCCATTGTCTCTAGAGTCTGGAAGAAATTTCCTCACGGTTCAGTAGAAAACAAGGCTTGAAGTGGGAGGCCTAAATTGTCTGACCAGAGAAGTGATCGCCGACTTTGGTGCAAGGTAATCGTAGGCAGTCTTTGACAGATTTGACTCATGAATTAAATAATGTAACGATCAGTGTAATCTAAAATTCAAAGGAAGACTCCATTGCAATGGTTTTCGGGACTAACTAACCTTATATTTTAATTTTAAAGTTTTAAACAATCGTATTTCTATATATTATGTCGAGGTTTAGTCAGACTGTCATTAACTAGGAAGTCACAGACTTCCCGTTTGAAGAGGTCGTACAATGATTCATAATTCATCTGGCTCACTGGTTACACCTACGAAGGGCACATAAAATGTCCATCTCGGGCATAACATAAGTTTACATCCTAACAAGTAAAAAAGTAAAAAACAAATGAGTGCAAAACTATTTATGAATTAAAAAAGTTTATCCTTTTAATATTTTAATACAAAATATAGGTGTACTAGGCCTGTAAGTTAGATGGGGTGGGGTGGGGGGTAATTACCATTTAATTACTATTTAAAACTTTTTTGATTTTAGCAATTCTGTTTCAGCCTAATAACAATCAAATTCTGGTCTAAACCTTCAGTAAACTCCAAATATTGGTTCATAAATTGAAACCTCACTTGCCGTTTTAGCGAGCACAATGTGAGATAGAAAGAACATGTACGAGTTCGTTTTGTGTACGAATTTGCCGTTGATGGGGGAAAATACTGATTTCTCAACAACCAATGAATATCATTTGAAAACGTATCTATTCAATTGTTTTACAGAAATGATGTCATTATTACTTAAACCTCAAACTAATTTAAGATATGTAGATATACCAATCATGATCCGATGTAATGTATTTAAAAGATATTTTATAAAGAAGATAATACCGCATATTAGACAAAGTACATTTTGTTTTAGTAGGGAGGAGGTGGTCAGGGAGAAAGTGACCTGCCAACGAGGACTCACTCCTACCAACAGACGTTGACTTCGTCGGACCACATGACGGCCACTTTTTGTATACTGTCAATGGCAGGGTATTGCCAACTAAGGTTATTTCAGCCAAATCATTGCCACACAGAAATTACACTGATGGCGTCCCTGCCAACTGGCTATTTGCTAGCTCTGAGAATGGTTATGTTGACAGCAAGCTTTTTTGTGGAATGGTTCAGGAAGTTTGTTCGTTCCCAACTCGTCGGCTTCTAGATTCAAGATACTCTAATTTATCTTCAAGTTCTTTAACTTTGGTGTGTAACTCCACATTCTCTGTCTGAAGTCGGGCGAGTTGCTCGTGCATGTCCGACGCCATATTGTCAACTTTCGAATGCAACGATACGAAATTCTTGTCCATAGCACACCTTAGTTCACTGAACATTTTCTTCTTTGTATCACTGTTCGAATCATTCAAAACCTTGATCAACTTGCACTGATCCATATATACCAGTCTGCAAGGGTGGACTGACGGGTGAGAGGTCCTGGGATCATCTCCACCGACCCGCTCGTCACAAGCAGTGTGCTCAGAAGGAGCAGGAGGCGTAAACACACAGACACTGACTGACTGAGTTTGGTTTTACGCCGCTTTTAGCAATATTCCAGCAACATCACGGCGGGCTTCACACATTATGCCCATGTGGGGATTCGAACCCGGGTCTTCGGCGTGACGAGCCAACGCTTTAACCATTAGGCTACCCCACCGCCCCACAGACACTGAACTTTAATTGACTTGGAGACCGTGCAAACTTCGTTTGGAACCATTTGGTTGTATAAATGTACCAACGATAGACGCGAGATAGCTGAACGTATTTCTTCTAATGTAATATCTCTATTAAGCGTAGCC